TATGTAAATTATTAAAGCACTTCTGTAACAATATTTTATTGGTGAAATTCATTGTTTGGCTGATGTTTTAGATTTGAGATTCGTGATTTTGGCTAGTGGATTCCATTTTTGTCAATGATTTCGTCTACAAGAATTAAGCATCATCATTAAATTTGGTGTTCTAAACTTGTTCACCTCTCTGGTAATGTTACTTATATGATGACTTGACATGACTTGTGGATTTTCAAAACTAACCCAGCGACAATAAGAAAAACTACTCATCCACCTGTTTAAAAAATGCCTGGTAAAACTTAATCCTGGTTACGTTTAGATGCTAAATTTGTCCCTCAACCCACTTGTTGCCACGGCTATGTCTGTGCTTCATGCCGGTAAAAAAGACAATCTGATTTATAACGCTGCTCAATCCTATAATGCCATTGGATAGAATGCCCTTTATAGCAGTAAAGGCCCACTTGGCCTTTTTTAACAGTATTTTGTATAAATGCTGTTACACAACTAATTCCGATAAAGTTTGAGAAACGGTGGTTCTTCTTATGCACCTATCAATGTTAAGCCCCAAGGAGGGGGGTTCGGACATATGTGGCGCATTTAATTTTTTGATCAAATTTTCAATCAAATGCCCCACTGTTGGGCAATAAATATTGGTCAAATACCCTACCATTTTGCAATAAATACTATATTAAAATAAGTCATTTTGGTTCAAATTGCCCTAACTTGGGCCGAAATGCTAATCCATTGTTAACTATGACTAATCAGAATCCCTAGGGTGGAGATGCAATTAATGATCAAATACCCCACATATGCCCAACTCCCCAACCCCCCCTCTGGGAGTTAACATTGATAGGTGCATTATATGCAGTTTTTTTATTCTCATATGATGTACCTTAATTAAAGTATCAGCAGCATGTTATTGTGGGACCTTTGATCAATATTATTGTATATAAATAGACATATTTTTGTTTTATTGTTGCATTAATTTTAATGAAAGTTTACTAACAAAGTTGGTCAAGTGAATGTATAAACTATTTTATTTATTCATTTAGTAAAGCACATGTTACAATTATGTACTTAATTGCACGAGTGTGCATGACAGACATTGTTTTAATTGCACCCGCTTGTGATTAAACTACTTTTTGTTTAATTTAAAAATGCTGAAAAAGAATCTAAAAAGTTGGCCAATTGAAATAACAGCATTTCTATAACTTGCTAAACCTAGTCAGTTGCCATTATATGACAAACATCTGTCAACGTACGCTCATGCTCTTCCTTACCACTTGAGTCTCTCACTCACCACGTCGCTTTATGAAATTTTTGGATAAAATCTTATTTTAAAAAACTCAACCCTATACTTGATATGCTGAACATAGACCTCTAAGATATCTCCTGCGACAAATAGTGGATACAAATACTCGCATAGTTCAGAAGCAATATAACCAACATGTGTCCATCCTGTTCCATAGTCTAGATCAATTGCACATGGGTCCATTGAATTCAATTGCTCTGGTCAATGAAGAGCAAGGTATGCCTGTTCCAAAATGATGTTGGTAGATTTTCTCATGAGCAGCACCGATGCACTTGAATGGTACAGCATGGGTGATTTCGTCCTCGTCACTTTCATCCTCATCACTTAACTGGTCACCACTTTCTGCCCTATCACCTTCATTACCACTTTCTGCCCTATCACCTTCATTACCTGATCAGGTTCAAGACCAGCCAAACACACAAATAGATCTCTTTCTACAAAATCATAACAAGAAAATTTTTATTTTATTATTTTATACATACACTGTAATCTCTAAAATTAGCTATATCTAATGCAAAAGTATGTAACTATTTACAGTAATATTAGAACAACACACAAATATGGCAATATTATTTACAGATGAAACTTGAAAAATATATACCCGGTAACTACTGTATGCACATATATGTAAAAATCTATTGTCCACAACTAGATACAAACAGGCATCATACTTCAGCAAAAATTTATTAAACAATTTGTTTGACTCAAAATATGCACATAATATATCACAGTGACACAGTACATAGACACACACACAATAGGGTCAAACTAGAGGCAATAAACACAATTATTATGCTATAATTATGTACAGTGTATTTATGAAATTACAGTACAGAACAGTACAAGAATAAAAACAACAAAGCGGAAATTTGACTAAATAACAAGATAACTGTAATGCATTGTAGTATACCAACCTTAAATACTGCGCTTGTTTTCACGTTGTCGTTGATGATACACGGAGATTTAACGCCATCCAACTTAGAAAGAAGAGCCTCGTTATTGGGAATATTTATATAAACACAATTCCTTCGCTCAGACGGATTATTTATAAACTAAACTAAAATGACAACACGTCCCATGCAATTTTAAAAAGGTAAACTTGCTATAGTAAAACACAAGTCGTAATGAGGATCGCAACAATACAGCAATATGCTGTTTTTGCTATAGTAAAACACAAGTCATAATGAGGATCGCAACAATACGGCAATATTCTGTTTTCACAGAGTATCTGACACTCTTGTCGTTCGAAAGTGTCCATATTGGTTTAGTCGGAGAGATGTTCACTCCTCGACAGTCCAACAGTCAACGAAGCCACGTGTGAAATTAGACGCTCAATACCCATGATGCTTTGCGGCCTGCTGTCCAACCTCCTCTGATTACTGTGAAAGTTTCTTATGTTTTTGAACTACTTACTATTACACGCTCATATTCAAAAAGGACCTGGTTACCAGTAAAAATTGCGCATGAAAAATGTAACTAGTTACCATAACAAAGTTAATTCACGGTCATTGTAACTAGTTTAAAAGTTACTTTCAATTTATTGTAACTTTTTAAAAAATTACATTTGCACGTATTAATAATTACATTGATAACGAAAAGAGAGTTCAATTAAATTACTGTAACGAACAACCTCGTTCCCAGGCACTTCTTCCTTGTGGAGAAAAACCACTGGACGGAGCTGGTCATGTAACCCATAGAAAATTGATAACCTAGGGGGGGGGGGAGAAAAAAGTCTCATGTAACATGTTTCCACTTCCGCACTTCACACTTCGATTGCAAGGACTTCAAATGCTTACTAAATTTGCTTTCTATTTGCTTTTAAAATATAGAAACATAAACTGTAGATTCTTCTGGCAACAGACAAGTCAGGAAATCAAGCAACCAACACGTATGATCGTATATATGCTTTAAAATATTTGCTCTGTTGTTCTCTCGGGGTTCGGACGCACTTTCATTTCACGCGTACGTTTCTGTTCTGCCTCTTGTTCAGATATTTATATTCTTATATTATGGCATTGGATTGTTGTCATTTGGAAACGGTATAAACTTTGCATTGATTTACTTGTTAAACACAGTTCTCAAAAGCGACAGGTAGATCGTAGCGCCTTCGCTGTCTTACAGCAAACGTTACACATCTGGACACTAGCCAAATAGACATTGAATGATCATTCTATTGATTCTAAAACCGTTTATAGACATTGTGCTCTATGTTATTTTTTAAAATAGATTGTCATCGTTTATATTAAACACCAGATAGGAAGGAGTGTTAACGTACAAAATTGTTTGGGATCGACACTACAGAATTATAAGACAATTGAAAACTGTATGCTTTTCTTTTTTTGTCTGCACGAGGACTTCGATGTCCAAGCCAAAATATTGCACATACCTTGCTACGTAATTATATAACCATTCACCCTCGCCCCTTGAATGCAAAGGAATGATAGCTGATAAGGTTTAGCAAAGTATTTTTTTATAACAGGTTTAGCAAAGTATTTTTTATTATATAATTCATTAACTGTATATGCGTAAGGAAGTCTCGCTCATAGTATTATTTAATGAGTTTTTATAAGCCTTTTAGCGTTTCCAATGATAGATAGGTTGTATGCCTCCAGAAACCTCTAAAAAGTCGATCACAGTATACGATAAGGTTTAAGGTTGACCCACAATATTGATGATACAAGTCGAAAGAAGCTGGATTTCAAGCCGGATTATTCTTCATATAAATCGCAATGGGGCAATGGCAATGCAAATAAAAGATCTTTAACAGATCTTTATAAGTTGTAAATTAAGATCTTCACTCGTAGAAAAAGTTGAATAATAATAATAATAACAAACAAATTTACATAAATAAACGTTGTGTTAAATATTTTCAAGTTCTGTTCTCAAATCCAAACTCTACACTCTCAAAACATGTGTTTCACGTGACGCGTGAATCGCGCGAGACTGTCTCGTTCCACGATAATTATACAGATTTATGATGTGCCTGCTGTAATTTACTCTAATACATAAAATATGAAATAATTTACTATAAAGTACAATGGGCCTTCCATTTAATATCCACCCTTCCCCTGTTAACGAGGTTACTGACTTTAGACCCTTTCGGAAACGGTTTTCCGGAAGACCCCCTCGGAAATTCGCTATTTTTTGTAAAACTGATAGGAAATTTACGATTTTTCTCAAGCCCGTCGGAAATACCTGTTGACGTGCTTCCATTGCGAAAGACCCACTCGGAAGTTTTCGGAAGTTTATTCACCCCCCCCCCCTCGGATATTATGGGGGAATTTATTGACCACCCCCTCAGAAAGACAGGTAGTAGCTTCCTCCTCCCCCCTCGGAAATTAAAAAAAAATTGACCCCTTGGAGAATTGAAAAAAATATTGACCCCTTCAGAAATTTGCCTTTTACAAACCCCCTTGGAATAACTTGGCACCCACTCAGAAACTCAGAATTTCAGACCCCCTTCGGAAAATCTTTTCAACGGTTGGGTGTGGATATTAAATGGAATGGTCCAATACCAGTGTCTGGTGCATGTTTCGTCCTAAATATTCAAGTTGTACTGCATGCACGGAAACGCACGGCGGAGTCTAGGCGTCCGTGTGATAACAGATAGCTGCACTTCGACATAATCATTGTTGATCGTTGAGTTTCAGCAATGTAAATGCAGGGACTTTTACAGTCCACAACGGGATTTATTCTTGTGCTTTCACAATAAGAATACCATTGTTTACACACAGTTGGCGATACTTTTCGGAAATCAAAGGAACCCGTTATAAAATAAATATTTTGTTTTGAATATCAGACAGGATACTCTTCAACTATAAACAACCATATCGTTCGTTTGATTGATCAGATGTGTATGTTTGATATGTTTGATTGATATGTATGATTCTACGGCAAAAACTGCTCAACTTCGCAAGCCAAGAGCGCGTGGAGTCCTTGCAAGTGAAATATGATCCAGCTTCTCGCTTGAAATGTACCGCAACGTATTCAGTATAGCTGGAAATCATGTCATAATGAATACGAATTTAGAATTGTTCCTTTCAGGATATCTTGTTGCAAATTACATTTTTATCACCCGAAAGTATAACATATAAAATTGCAATTTTCCCAACGCAACAGACTCCTTTACTACACACGTAAAAACGCACAACTTGTAACAAACCTGCAGCAGACTTGTAGCAAGTCTGCACCAACAACTTGTTCACAAGATGTGCTCGCACTGGTTGTCCCAAACTTGTTGTGACAGACTTGTAGCAACTTGTCGACGGACTTGTAGCAACTCTGTCGTGACGATGCTGTAGCAAGCTTGTTGGCATCAAGTTTGTAGCGAGCTTGTCAACTGACTTGGAGCAAGTTTGTTGGAACAATGCTGTAGCAAGCTTGTCAAATTCAATCCATAACAACCTTGTTTCATCAAGCTTGTAACAAACAAGGCGACTCGTGAAATTCCCGCGGGTAAAAAAAACACGCGTGTGAATATCACTTCGCGTGTTTTCCCGGGGGGTGTCAACAATAAAAAATAGACAACACATGTTTGGTGTAAAAAATCGTATATTTTGAAAAGAACATACAAGGAATCAAGGATTAGTAAATAAATACAAACTACAAAGTTAAAGTACAAGGTAAGATTGTTATAAACATATATTTAGCATGCATTAGAACAATAAACTGCATTTTCTGAGTCAGTATATAAATATAATACTGAAAATAAAACATATTCCTAAATTGAAAACAGTCCTATTTTGAGCAATATTTATATTTATAAACTACATATATAAACATATCGTCAGACTGTCATTTCAAAATTTGTTATTGTAGTCCCAACAGAAACCATGGCAGC